TGTTGGGCGGCGGAGGCGGCCGCCGCTGTGTCCCCTTCCCCACCCGTCCCTCGTAGGCGAGAAGCGAAGGAGGAGGGCCGCCGCCGCCGCCGAAGGCCCGACCGGGATCATTTGTAGTGCCCGAGGAATAACGGGCAGAGGGAGGCGCGCTTCCTCCTCCCTGTCCCTGAGCGCTGCGCAGAGGTAAGAGGAAGACCTCCGGAAAGCCACCAGTAGCAGCGACCGCCGCGGCCGCCACCATTATTGTGGGCGAGCGAGCAGGGAAGTCTTCGTCTTTGGCGGCTTCGTGTATTGTTGTGCCTATTTCCATGCAACGCGTTTTGCAGGCATGGGCGTGTCGCAAGCCGGCCGAACTTGCCGCCCGTTCCTTTCCCCAGGGCGGCGGGAGAGGTTGTTGTGGGGTAGGGGGGAGGGGAGGGGATGGAAATGGCTTCGCGGTCAGACAGGCGATGTCTTGGAAAGGGGGAGGGAAGGCGGTGGAGAAGGAGGAAGATAAGGAGGTTCACACATACAGTATTTTTTTTCCCGTGCTAGCAGTGAACTTCGGGCGGCGGGTATGTCGCCGATCTGCAGCGTCCTTCCCCCTGCCCCGAAAAATCCTTCCAGATTCGGTTTGTCTCGAAAGCAGACGAAACCGAATTAGGATCTTGCTACACTTGGCAGAGAAGAGACCAAATATTAAGCTTCAGAGAGTCCAAGGGCTAGCGTTGGCTCCTCTCGTGGCTGATTTGTCACTTTAAAAACTCGTATTAAAAACGAGGATTCTCTTTTTCAGGTAGTAACATCAGCCTTGGGCAGGGAGATGTGAACAGTTTCTCCATGGATAAAAGAGGCCTCTCTTCCATCTTCCCCAAGGTGGGTAATTTTATTTTATCTCTGCTTTGAGAGCGACGAAGTATTGCGTGTCAAATGCATAATGCCTGAGTGCAGCTCTAAAATACAGCGACTGTTTATGCTGTTGTAAGAACTTAGTTCTGCTTCTCTTATATCCTCCTGACAAAGTGTAGTCTGCTACTGCAGGCTAGTTTCATTTTGTCTTCCTTCTGCCTCTCTCCTACAATATTTAGCTTATTTTCTAACTGATGATATATATATTTTTAAAGGAAAAGTGGTGTACAGTGTTGAAGAGGATGTATAATGACTCACTTGTTCAGAGGAGTGGCTGGGGGCAAGAAATAAAATATGTAGTTTCCACATGAATCTGGGAGACAGTATTGTAGCATTTTCTTTGACTTGCTTTCCCTTTCAATTTCTGGAAGGGATGCTTCTTGAAACTACTGTACTGATTTTATGTTCAAAACAAAATGCGTTTAAAGGGAATTTTTTTAAAAAAAGCAAATAGACAATGTAGTGTGCAATTTCATAGATTATTTTTTAGCTCTTGGATTCTCCCCTCCCCAGTAAACTTTTCCTCTTAAGTTGAACTCTCAATTTTCAAATGTTAATATGGGCAAACTGGATTTGATCCTCATTGAGGTGCTCTTCCAACATTTCCCCCTTTAAACGAAACAAGAAAAAAGCAATTGTGGATGAGTGGGAGGCTACTTCTAATAACTGCAGCTTTGTGTTTATGATTTCCAATGTGATGGAAATCATCTGGGTAGAAGGGGGTTATGCTTCCTCCTCAGTGTTTGATGCAGTGTTGTAGCTACTTTTCTATTTGCCCTGTGTTGTGCAAATTGCTATACTGCTTATTTTAAGGAAAAGGTATACGCTACATAAACACTGTATGCACAAGAAAGTGAGGAAAGCATTGCTTTCGGAGGATAAGGTTTTGGCTTCCTTATCTACTTAATCTTCTTGACATACATGGTATGATTATTGCTTGATAAACTGCTACCTCCTTTGTGTCATTTCCTTTGGGGCAGGTTTGTGTTATTGGCAGCAGAAAAGTTGCTACCAAGGCAAATACATAAAGCAGTTCATCTTACTCTCTGCAAATGATGGTGATTAATGATACTGTACTGTGATAGGATGGAGGGATTGTAGTGTTACTGTACTTTGAAAAATGTCTTGTGTCTTTTAACTGAGAAAAGTGTGTAAGTGAATGTTTTTAATAATGTGTCAGGCAACAACAAAACAAAAAAAAAGAGAAAAATGTTGTGACATCTTAAAGACTAACTGCTACAGTTTAAGGTGAGCTTTTATGGCCTAGTCCACTGTTTCAGACCAGATCTGAAGAAGTAGACTTGTCTTGGAATGCTTGCATCAGAATACATCAGTTAGTCTTTAAGTTGCCATAATATTTTTGTCTCTGCCCCCGCTGCTGCCATTTTTTGCCTGACATGCTAGCATAGAATAACATGGCTACCTCTTCTAGGATAAAGTGCATAGTTTTAAAATAAAACTATTAAAATAAATAAACATTCTAGTATAAATTGAATATAAGTTTAATTTTATTTTACTTGCTTTTTAAAATTAATAATTTGGACAGCCTCTCAAACACTTAGGACTAATTGTACTATTCATCATCTGATTCTTTTTTGTGTCAGATATCACCTGTATTTCTCCAAGAATAAGACCTAACTTGAAAATAAGCCCTAGTATGATTTTTCAGGATTGCCCTACCTCAAAAATTAGCCCCAGTTAAGTGAAACCCGCCCTCCACCATTGTGCTGCATTGTGCGGCAACCAGAAGAAGATGATATGACTGTATTTGAATACAGTAAATGTAGATTGTTGTACATGGGGGGGGAATCTCTTGAAAGTAAGTCCTAATGCATTTTTTTGAAACAAAAATTAATGCAAGACCCTGTCTTATTTTCGGGGAAACACTGTATTAATTTGAAATTGATTCTTCTATTCGGGGAAACACTGTATTAATTTGAAATTGATTCTTTTATTTGATTTATATGTTCTGAAGCATTGATTTCTTCTACATTGATTCCCAGGTATAATTATCAGTGCTAATCTCTAGGTTATCTTCCCAACTCATTTTAACCCTCCAATTGATAGTATACAATACCAAAGAAAGAATATTATGTAGTTGGCATGCTTCATCCACTTTCTGCTCCAGTGAAGATTTGATCGAGGCTTCAAAGGGAAGAATCTGTCTAGCCACCTGTCTTTAGACAGTTGCTAGTGTTGTGAAGTGTGTCACAAGCTAAAGCTTACCTGAGGAAAGGATTGGGCAAAAAGCTGTAGGTCTACTGCTGGTCATCTTTTTTTCTTCTCTGAAATGCAATGTTCTGAGTGGCTTCACAGATTGGTTGATAATCTCTGCTGCTGTTGCTGTTTTGACTGGTGTTATCCTTCCAGTAACATGTTAAGGTATGAATGCAGCTGCATATCTGCAACAAACTATGTAGAAGAGTTTTGCCTTGGTCCAAGCTTCATGTACACAAATTTTTGACGATGTACACTTCTTATGAACACTTCCTGATCCAAGCTTCATGTACACAAATACGATGTACACTTCTTATGAACACTTCCTGAGATTGCTGGGATGGGGAGAACAACAAAGTATATGGGTTTCTCATGTGGCAAGCATGACTGTTGTGTGAAGCTAAGAGAATGTCTTTGTATGAAGCTGGGACAGTAAACTTTTAAAGAGCTTATCAGGGAGAAGTGGTTCTGTTCAAATGGAAAACAAAAATAGAGTACTGTCGTACCACACATAATGTGGCCCCCTGTAGCAGCAATTCACTATAGCATGCATACTTGGGCGGCAATTTCGTGGTACTTAATAGGCCTGGGGCCTGGTGTACTTGCTCCATGTTGGAGGTAGACTGGGTCTCCCAAACTCCTGACATTGAATGTAATCTTAAAATGACTCAATTGAATAGTGGTTTGATTAGCACTTTCTTTTTTTTAACATTTCCTGAGCATTAAGCAGGGTATTGCTGCAGTATAGGATGAATTAGCATACTTGCTGCTGAAGAATTGCTGGATTAATAATAGAGTTGAAATATGGTAATGGACAGAAATTTTTGTAAAACTTATGGCATCAGAACATGCTTAGTTATAAAAAATGCAAATACAAAAAATCTAAAGGACACTACAGGCTGTTGAGTAACAGTATGCAATGTTATTTTTACCCTTGTTCAGTGACAGCTGATTACATAATGATTACATTTTTTTGATTGTAGAGTTATTATATTGACCCTGGTGTATTTTCCAATTGACGACATATTTTTAAAATAATTTCATTAAAAGTCTGTTTTAGATTCTGTGGGATGAAAATAATTCAGATGTGAAAAGCAGAAATTACTTGAATATACAATTTATTTGTGTTCACAGAAAGCAGATTAACAAATCTGTGAAATGGTTTTGTGTGTTGATTATTGCCCTTTTTGAAGGGTTCATTTCTTGTGTATAGAATATCCAAAAGCAACACAGTTCTACTTCTGTGGAGCATCCAGTAGTAGAACAGTGGTATTATGCAACTGCAGTTACACTTTTTTAACGTTATCCATTTTTTGCCAGAATAAAGATATGAAGTTCTGTAAGGCTTTATTTTTTGTCAAATATGCATTTGACTCATTTTATTTAATGTGTGATGTGGTTCTTCCCAGAGTGAAACACTGTTCCATGAAATATTGGGCCATTCATTGCTCTCAGACATATGTCAAATATATTCTGTTTCTTCAATGTCTAATGCCTGACTGATGCCAGAGTAGAATTTTCCACTCTCTCAGTGTACCCAACAGTATTTAAATCACTGAAAAGTACAGATACATACTGTAAGTAATATAAGAACCTAACTCATTGGTAGAATTTGAGGATTAGAAAAAAACTAGTGAATTTCTTTGGCCTTGTGTGCTGAAGAGATGACTTTTTAAATAAAGATGGGTTGGAATATTGACTTCTACAAATATTGACTTTGTAGAAAAATAAGCTCCATTGTCTTCTGTTTTCTCAGAGTATAACAAGGATCGAAAGAAAGAAAACTGTACAAGTGATTTAGTTCTTGCTATATTGGGAAGGAGAAAATTTTATCAGTGGAATCTAGGATGATGAAGTGGGATACTTTTGGCCTTCCTGATATTTTGACATGTAGGTCTTATAATTGCTTAGCTATGCTGGCTGGAGGTTCTGAGAGTTGAAGTCTAAACCGTCTATAAAAGTCATACTAAAAAGATACAGAATCATTCACTTAAATGGTTGGTTGCAGACTTACATGATCTAAAACAAAAGCTTTCAGATTAATACATGATTACCTGAAAAAGTGTGTGCTACTTAACTATAGTATATATGAATGCAAACAACATAAACATTTTGCATTTTATTTACTTGCTATTTTCTCTTCAGTATGTTGTACTACAATGAATGCTTACATTTTCTGATCTTTGTTATTCTGTTTTTAATTCAACCTTGCATGGGTACACATATTTTAACACAGTTTAATCAGGCTTTTCAGTATGGATAAAGTCCTGGTGAATCTTGACATTAGCGAGACTAGGTCCTTGTTACAAGTTTAATTTGTCACAAAACGTTGTCCAGTGTTAATTCAGGCTAAACTGATATATCCTCATTTTAAACATTGAGATACTACTATTTTTTTCTTGCTATATATCCCTGTATGTGGCACATAGAACACATTTGGGGATACTGGTGTGATGTTTCATCCCATTGTTTGAAATAACATTTTTATCCTAATTTCTGTTCTGATCTTATCCATGCTTGTAAACTTACTGCAGATCTTCGCAAGGCAAAAGGAAAAAGTGATGAACCCAATTAGCAGCAGGATGTATCAGCAATGTAAAGTAGAAGAATAAGGAGCTAGCTTATTACTAATCACTGTAGCAGTTCAGAGCTTATTTTGCAAATGTTTTTATATTTGCTTCCATTGTAGTGAGTGCCACTTATCCGAAAAGATAACATTGCATGACTGGTGCCAGTGCGAGAAAACATCT